CGGCAGGGTTCGGGCGTGCAGGGTGTGCGGACACCCCCGGCAGACGCCGTGGCCCGGCTCCGCTCCCCCCGGGCGCCGCCACGGGCCCAGCTCGGCTCCGGCCGCGCCGCCCTGTGGGGAAAGCCTCTGCTGGGCTCCGCTGTGTCCTTAGCGTTCCATCTCTCCTTGTTCTCAAGCTTTCCGTCTGCTAAATGCCATTTCTAGCCCCCGCGGTGGAGTTGTGTCTGATCGATTTAATTTGTGGTTAACTCCAGGTGCTGCAAAGGGACGCGCGACACCCGAGGTGCCTCATCAGAGGCAGCTGTCCAAAACTTTGAGGGTTCGGATGATTAAAATTTTAATTAAAAAGTAACAGTTTGCACCATCCATTTTCTTTTAAATGTATAACAAATTTGTAATGCTTCCTCTTGGATTACTCTGGAGAAGGTGCGGTACCACCTTTTTATTTTAATTTGGAATGCATATTGCAGTGTTTTCTTTCCCTGGCAGTGTTTGGAAGAGCAATACATGCCATAGCACGGATTAGTGATGAATTTTGGTTTGACCCCGTAGAAAAAGGTGTAAGTGAAGTTTATCTATTCTAATTTAAGAATCTTTATTATAAGCCCAGTATTTATACTACTGGATATTGTGGTTTTGTACAGGTACCTTTCAGTCCATCACATTCTCAGCTCCCTCCACTTTCAATATGGACAAAGGCCATATTTTCTGTGATTTTAATTATGCAGATTCCATCATGGAAGATTTCATTCCTACTCTGCCCCGAGATCCTTTGATTTTTTAATTGTCCAGGACATCTGGATTAATGTCACGAGGTTCAGTTCTTTTGTCACAGGTCACAAGGTTTGAGTTTTGTACCACACAGGAGCTGCCTCTAAAAACAACATGTTTTGTACTGTTGTGACTCAACAGGAAAAACACATCCATTAATGCCTCTGATTAATCAAACACCATTTCCAGCAGAATTAGCGTTTTCTCCAGAGGTTTCTTAGTTAAAAGTGATCAGCTCTCCTTGGCTCACTGGGAGGATGGAAAATCACAAGGGGAGATATTTGGTTTTATACCTGGAGAATTTTTGGGGTGTGAGTGGTGTCTTTGCTCATCTGTTCCTCAAATGCCTCAAACACAAGCTGAGCTCTGGGTGTTTGGGTAACTCAATTATTTTTATTTTTAAAATACTATCAGATAAAAATATATATTTAAATTTTTTAAATCATTTTGAGATGTAAATTTCCAGGTTTGCTGGTGGCACTGAAGCCCACAGGAGGCTCTTTTTAAAAGGTTCAAGTTTTGAGTTAATAAATTGTTTTACTTCTGTTCCCTCAGTGGTTGGATTCAGTGATGTTGGAGGTCTTTTCCAACCCTAATGACTCTGTGATTCCATTTCCAGCTTGCCTTAAGATCAGTAAATTCCTCGAGGTCAGCATATGCATGTGTGTTCTTCTCATCCATGTTTTTCCAGCATTACTGCTGGACAGCTGTGTCCCAGCCCTGCCAGAAGGAGAAGCAGTTATCCCTCCCCTGTAAATTGATAATTAAGGTACATTTTAGCGAGTTGTTACACACAGCAGCAAATTAACCCAATTTCCAGCTGCAATTATCATGGGTGAGGATCAGCCTGGGCTCTCCCAGTGTCCCCAGAGCAGTTTGGGGAAGCCTTAAGAGCAGCAGCTTGAGATAAACCAGGGTACAAACCCAGGGAAATTATATTTATTGCAAACCTGCTCAGGGAGTAACCTCTGCACTGATTTTTTGGATTTTATTTTTTTTTTCCAGTCAGTTCTCCCTGTGTTTAGATGTGTGAATGTGCTGGAAAGGAATGTAGAGAAATGCAGCATCTCCACCAGCCCCAGTGAGCACCACATCACCTTTCAGCTGCTCTGCAGGCACGGTAAGGGCACAGGGCAGTTTAGAACCACAACAATTAATGTCATTATCAACACAGGTCTGTCATCCTCAGCCCAGCAGGACTGGGAATGTTCATCAGCATCAGTCTTTGCAAAATTCCTGAGTAAACATCATCTCCCCCCACAGAGCTGAGCTGTGCTGCAGGCAGTGGTTTGTATTATCAATAATCCAGCTGGGGTTACTGATTTAGGATAATACATTGAATTAGGTCTGCAGACAGAAGGGCAGAGATCTGTAGGGTTTGTGTTCTGCATTCCACTCCCATTTATGTTATTTTACCAGTTAATTTCTGAGGTTATTTCACGCCAAGCATTTGTTGGTTTATTTCTTGGGGATCCTTAAAAAACTCAGATGCTGTCCAGCACAGCTAATGGGATGGAGGGAGGCTAAGATGGCACATGGACTCCTTTTCCTGCTTGTGGTGTTATTTCCATATAGCTAGACTAAGTCAATTGGTTACTTCCTCTATTGAACAATAAATATTAAAAAAAAAAAAAAAATAAACTAAAATTACAGCCAAGAACTGATTTTGTTTCATTCCCTTCATACTCAGGTGTTGTAAAAACCTATAACCTGACATTTCAGGAGTGTGATCCCTTGCAGGCTGTTTTTGCAAAGCACATGTGTCCAAACATTCTTAAAGTCCACTACAGGTAAAAAACACAGAATTTTTTTTTTTTTTAGTTTTACTTTCTAATGTAACAAATGCTCAATAGTCATAGATAGAAATATTTTAGTGTTGAATGACATTTTATAGGCTGCTGGCTGATGTGATGATCCACTTCCCAACCAGTCAGGAAGAAATAACCTTGTCAGTAACTCCAATGAAAGTTTGTTTCAAGAGTTACACTGAGGAAGACACTGGTAAGGAAATTCAAAACGTGAACCAATACTTGGGCTTTTAACTTTTTCTTTTTGAGGTGAACTCCAGGAATAATAATTGTCACGACATAAATGTGGGATGAATTTTATGGCCGAATGACATTTTTAACAGAACATTATAGAGAGAGATTTAAACTCATGCTGCCACCCGCTGGTTTTAATAAATTAAATAAATTTAAATAAATTGAAACATCTTCCTGGTGTCAGTGGCAGATCTCAGACTGAGCAGCCAATTGAAATAAATTATGCCACTTGCTGTAGGCTTTGAAAGAGGTAATTACCGTGCTGCAAGAGCAGCAGCCTGGCAACTGCCAGGAAAAAGGGGATAATTTTATGTTTTAAAAAGAACTCTTTAAATCTGAACACCACAATTATAGAATTGATATCATTAGAGAGTATATTTTAGTCTAAGGACAGCACAGAGTGTCAGCAAGCCCTGCACTGTTATGCCATGGTCACATCTCCAGGAGGTAGAAAATGAGCTGGAGATTCTTGGGGTGTGACTCAAACTAATTTTGAAGATGTAATTGTGGTTTTGAAGTAGAGGTTCTTGTGTATCATATAATAAAGAGATGCTTTCCATACTTGTTGTGACCAAAGCTGAGGAGAATGACCTGGGAAGAGCCCAGAGCTGGGAACTGGGCTGAGAACAGGCTTAAGAGAAGGATCAGGTGGCAGAAACTGGCTGGAGCAAAACAGGGCAGAAATGCCTGAGAATAAAGAGAGTACATTGAAAAACACACATGGGGACACTAGAAAAACACACACACAACAACAATAGTAAAAAAAAAAAAGAAAAAAAAGCTGTAGAGAGACAAAGAGCGCACAGAGAGAAAAGAGAGGGGCACAGAGAGGTGCTGTGCTCGGGTGAATCTCCCTGCCTGCAGCACCTCTGTGCTTTGAACGCCTCCCCTGCCATGGCCTGGGGGTTCCACTGGAGTCAAACCCTCTGCTCACCCCTGCTGGGCCACAGCTGCAGGTGTGTGACAAACACCCCCTGCCACAGCCACACGGAGCTTCTTACAGGAGCCTGTTTGAACTCTGGGAGATAAAGCAGAGAGCAGAGAAAGGGAAGAGTGGGAATAGCCTGGAGCACTTCCTCAGCAGCCTGGCCTGGCTGGGGAGTTTCTCTGAGCTCTCCGGGACTGTCACACGCCAGGAAATCGCCCTCTCACTTTCTCTTCACACACCCATTGAGAGCCACGGAGTAATCTCATGGTAGCAAAAAAACTGAATACCTGAAACTGAACAGCCAATTTCCTGTTGCCACTTTCCTGTGTCAGGAAAAGATTGTAATTTAAAACAAAGAGCCTCTGTCCACCTCCATTGTGCTCTGGTGATTGGCAGTAATTTTGATTAATCTCTTCAAGTCACGCTTCATTTTGGGCTTCCCATCCATGCAACAATAAGCAGCTGGGAATATTATTTGTGATGGATGCCTGTGGAAGAAGCAGATCTGCAAGAACAGCAGCAGGTGTTAGGTTAGATCACACTGCAGAACATGGAATAGGTTCTGTTGAAATCCATTCAAATCTACACAATGCAAATAAATTGACGATTTTACTTACTTCTAGTATGCATATAAGCTAAATATTTATTACTTTTGACTACTATAAAACCACAACTATTTGTTCAAAGAATGCTTGTGTAAAAACCTCAGGGCTACAATCACAGCTTTGTTGAGTTCAAACTTCACTGCTGTGAGTCCCTGACTTTGTTGTTATCCCAAACAGACTTTTCAAGGACAATGCTTACTGAGATACAGCTCAGCCCAGAGGAATTTGACTACTTTCAAGTCGGAGTAGATTCTGAAGTGACATTTTGCCTTAAAGAATTGAGGGTAAAGTAAGAATTTGTCTGGGAAGAAAACCTATTTCCCATTAATTTGCCTGACTGGGCCAGGACAACACAGGATGGTCCCTGTGGAATGGCCCTGGGTTGGTGCCCCACCAGCCCTCCTGACAGCAGCAGGGTTTCACCACCTGGCTGAGGCTTAGCTTTAAACCCCAGGATCCTGTGAAAGGCAAACAAAACACTTCTGAAACAGAGATGAGGTTTCTGTGCTGGGCAGACACAGCACAGCTGCCCCAGGGAAAGCATCATGACCAGGGAAGTTCTCCATGCAGAACCTCCTCTGGCAAAGCTCTGGCAGGGAAGGACAGAAATTCTTAGAAGCAGCAGACTTTTCTCCTCTTTTTGCCAGTTAACAGCAGCTGGGATAAACTTATATTCCAATATCAGTGTTTGGGTTTAACAAGCACTTCACCCCCACCCTTCTCTGCAGGGCCTGCTGGCGTTTTCCGAAGCCACGAGCGTTCCCGTGTCCATCCACTTCGACAGATGTGGGAAGTACGTGTGGGACCTGCCCTGGCTGGGGCCCTGCAGTCACCAGTGAACACGGAACTGCAGATCAGGGCAGATTCTCACTTCAAACGCAAAGCCATTTCTAACCTGCAGCCTGGATCTGTAATTCCATATAAACACTGAACCCCGGTGTGGCACGAGCTCCAGGTGTATAAATTACCATGACACCTGAGACTCTCAGTCCCCTGCAGGCAATGATTTATTTATTTAGCACTTTAAAGAGCCATTATGTTTTCTGAATAAACAGAATTTTAACAATTAGATATTTAATGCTATCACTTGACTCTTGACACTGCACAGCATTTGCTGATTGGAGCAGTGAGATCTGTAACAGGAGCCCCTCTCTCATTCCTCAGTAGCAAATACAGATTTTCAGCTTTTCAGAGGGGGTGCTTTTTAATTCCATAGGTGGAATCACAGTATCTGTTAATTCCCTGTGCTGTTTGGTCTCATTACTTGTGTTTAGACCCATTGCTTTCAGCATTGAGGACCTGCTGCTGGAGGCCAGCTTTATCCTGGCTACCTTGTGTGAGGCTGAGAAGGAGGCAGCTTCCCCAGAGCCTGCCTGCTGCCCACGGCCCTGGGACAGGTAATGGGGGCTGAGGGGGCAGGTAGCCTTAAGAGAGTGAAAAACTCAGGTTTTCACAGGAAAACTGAACTACAGAGGTTCAGGAACATCTCAGCAGCACAACCGCAATAAGGGGGTGGAAGAGAGAATGTTCTGTACAAGCTGCTGCTTTCCCATCTCCTCAGGGTCTGGGTGCAGCAGGAGGGAAGATGCTGAGTCTCCCCATTAGCTGTAATCTTTTCACAAACAGAAAATAAGGATATTCCAATGAAACACAAAGACAGCTACTAACCTGCCCTACTCTGTCCAATCCAGCTCAAAGACTGGCATGGATAAATCTGACCAGCCCTCCATGGATGGAACCAGCAACGCAGCCACAGCTGCTTCCAAAAAGCCACAGCAGAAGGGAAACACTCCAAACATGGACCCTGCAAAACCCCAGAGTGCTTTGGCAAAACAAGAGGTAAAAAATATTCCCAGAGGCATGGAGAGGGATGTGCCAGGCAGAGCAGGAGCAGCCACGGCCAAGGCAGTGGGCAGAGAGGCCACAGAGGCTCCTTATGCCAAGGTGAGGGAACTCCCCATGGTGCCAGCAGTGGAACCCCACAGCTGCTGTTTGGCTGAGCACCCCCACGTGCTCTGGGGGTTCCAGTGGGATCAGCTGTCCCAGCAGCATAGCTGGAAAACCCCAGCGCTGCTGGGAACACTCCTGGGGGCAGGTGGGTTTCACTGGGAAATGCTGCTGGCTGAGAAAGATCATAAAGTGGTAAAAGCTTCACAAATAATTAATACCCAAATTCTGTATCACAGCTTCTTACCTGTACAAATATTGCATTTTCCAGTTCCACTCCTTATTCTTTGGAGCTGTCTCTTACAAGGAGAAGGAGGCCATTGGTGACACCTTCCAGAGCTTGGTGACAGCCAGTGACACTGAGGAGGACTCGGGTGCCTTGCAGAGCTCCCCAGTTCTGTAGTGCAGGGCTTGGGGTCCAAGGACAGACAGTGGGGAGTGCCCAGGAGGGAGGGCAGGGCAGGCCCAGCCTTTGTCACTGGTGCTGCGACCCAGCAGCACAGAACGTTCTGGAACTGCCAGTGCTCTTGGAATGGCACAGATTTAGGTCACGATTAACTCCGTTGAGGTTTGTGTGTTCTGCAGGAACTGCTGGGGAGGGGGGTTCTGCTCTCAGAACAGGGGCTCAGTTTGAATTCAAACTCTGTTACCACATCAGGCAAATGAAGCCGCTGTTCTGGTTAAGGGTGCTGGAAAAATAACCCAACCATGCCCTCTGTCACAGCCAAACCCAGCCCAGCTGCAGGAGAATTCAGGTTTTTACAGACTCTAGAACCAGCCTTTAACTGAAAACCAAAGTTGTCGCAAAATGCATTTTAAAAAATAAAGGTTTGTGTTTCAGACTTGCATTATTCTTTGTCTTCCCCATGTCTCTCCTACAACACCAGGGGCAGTGCAGTATTTCCAATGTCACACTGGGATACAACACTGAAATTCCCAGGTAATTAAAGGATCCCTATCTGTCTGCCAGACTGCTGCAGAAGGCATTGGGTGTCACTCAGGTGAGGATCTGAGAGCAGTGCAGGGAGGTCACAGTGACAGCCTGGCCCCTGGCTGGTGCCTCTGTGCCATCAACCACATCCCCACGTCAACAAACAGAGGGTTTGTAGGCAACTTGAGTTTAAGAAACACATTTTAGTATAAATACTATATTTATTAAATATCTTTACAATTTATTTAAATGTATATACAGAACTATTCCTGCATAAGTTATACCTCAGACATGAAATTCACATAATTGCCTCTTGGGTAAGCATAGATGATAGTCTCATTTTAACAGCAACAAAAAAGCATCCTCAGGTACAGACTCAGATTTGCTTCATTGTTTCAGCTATCTTTGTCAGAAGCTACTGCATACAGTCAGGTTCTCCACACAGCAGCTGCTCCTCCCCTGGAGAAAGGATGGACCTTACCAGGAGATGGACATTCCATCACTAAACCCTCCCATCCCTGCCTGATCGTCACCTCTCCCTTCTTACTCACTTGTAACTGCCTGGTCCCAAATCTGGTTTTTGGTTTGGTTTTATTTTCAGCCTGAAAAGGACATTTAGGACTGTATGTCGCAGCTCTCCCAAAGATAGCCCAGAAAACAGCAAGGAACCACAGAGCTTTTCCAATTCACCACGTCTTAGCCCTGCTCCACCCCAATCCCTACGGCCGCTGCTGCAGCAATCCCAGGTTCCTGGGGGACACAGCTCCTCCTGCTCCTCCAGATCCCTGCTCCCAACCCAGCAGCTCCCAAAACAAACCACAGCCCACTGCAGCAGCTCCAAGGCAGCCTGCAAACACCTTTCTTGTACATTCCTCTTGTGAACATTCCCACTAACCTCACCCCTAGCAAGTGTTACTGCTTCATGCATTGCTGGGAATTATTTTGGATAGGATGGGCCCTGTCATTTCCTTCTCCAAAGATCAGTTGTGCGCAGACAGCGTTAAGTTCATAGGAAAAAATCAGGTTTGATATGTTCAGAGTGCACGTCTTAAAAAAAACCCAAAACAATCAAGCATGTGATAAAAATATCAATTCTTTATAATACAGTATTGCTTTATAAACAGATGGAAAAGCTAAAAGCTTTACTGGTCTTTGGTGTGCCCGGTGAGGGAAAAACTCATGATTTGTAAATCAAAACCCAAATTTGTTCTTTATTTTAAAAAACCCAACAGGTCATGGTGTGATATGAGGCAAACGGCTTTGTGGACACAGACAGGGAGGAGCGGGAATTCGGGAATTCCAGACCCTCTGACCCGCACACGTCCCTAGGGAAAGCTCTGGAAAGCCGGGAAGGGGAACAGGGAGGGCTGGGGACTGTGCTGAGAGCAGAGAACAGCCCGGGGCCGCGGGGGCGTCGCCTGAAGGGAAGGGCAAAGGAAAAGAAGAATTGATCAAATCTGCTCTAATCCAGAAGCTGCGAGTAAATACTGGATAAATGTAAAGACACCCGGAGTCGGGAGAGAAAGGCCCCTCCCAAACAAGAAACAAAGCCCTGTTCTGCATGTGAATACATTCCTCCAAGACAGCCAGAGACAGCTTGTTCAGGTTAAAAACAACAAGGACTGACAGGTTGTGCAAAGTTCTCCACCACTCACTGTTCGTGTGTCGCAAAACTAATTAATTTTTCTTCATTAATATAATCCTCCCCATACCCTCACCAAAATCCTATTTTGGTCAAGTTAGGGTAGTTAAGGCATTTTGACGAGTAATTACAAGGTGATTTAAAGTAGATATCTAACATTATGCCAATTGAGGAATAGCAGATAAATTACTGAAGAGCTCCCAAATTAATCACTTATTATAAATGAAATGCCTGTTACAAGCATGATGCACTGAAATATAGTAAAATGACATGTACATGGTACATGTTAAATGACCTTAAATAAAAGCTTGACATAGTTACGCAAATATACAGTACAAGTCCACAAAAATTCTTTAAACAAGTTGAGGTAACCTCAAACTTAAACAGTTTTAATACAATAAACCAGGTAGTAAAAATCTCCTCTTGAGAGCAGGCAAGATTCCTTACTGACCAAGTTTAACTGCACTCACCTAAACAGCAACATTACCCGACTTTTTATATATAAAAACATGGCTTTAATTTATTTCTACATACTTCTCTACCAGCAAAAAAGTTAATGAAAAACTGACCAAAAATATATATATCTTTACAGCTCTCAGCTTTCATATGAGCCTCAGGAAAGAAAAAGGAAAGCTGGCTGGAAAAGGGGGGACAAACGTGAGCTACTGTCATTGAAAAGGAAATGTCATATTGCAAAGTGGCTGTTAGATAACTGTAAACATCATTAAGGATCATTGAAACCCCCTAAACTTTAGTTAAAATGAAATGTAGGCTTTGCTGATTATTCATTAAGTTTCCATTTTTGCACTCGCTGCCACTGCCGCAGCAGAAGCAAGAAGGTGCCTGCTGGAGTCAGAAAGGATCAACTGGACTTAAACTGGTGCAGCATATTCTGTTCTACAAGCGAGAGTGGCAATTATTAACACAAATTATGTTTTATATCAACAACAGAATTATTTACCCAAAGTGAAGACGCTCGGAGTTGAGGATGAGCTGTTTTGTGCAACCTCCCACCGTAGCATTTACCATCATCCCACGCTGAGATGGGTTCAAAAGCTGAAAGACCTCAACTGTGGCCAGCTCGACTGTTTGAGACTGAGCTAGAATTTTTGTTTAAAAAAAATAATAATTATCCACAGCCAAAACATCCAAAACCAGGCCCATTATGGACGAATGATCTGCAGAACTTTTAAGATCACAGTTAAGCACCTGAAATCACAAAACACATTTGCATCCATATAACTCGAACTAGGTTTGTTTGAAATCTCGTACTAGAAAAGGCTCCTAAGGCTGACACCATGGATGGCAAGAGCAGAATGTTTACAGCAGTTATAAATCTCCTGAAAACCGGAGCTCAGAAACACAAAACCTCGGCTATCACTGGAACAAGACTATGCTTTATGGAACTGGGTCTGTAACACACCCTCAACAACAGCAAACGTTCCTAGGAAATAGAGTAATATGCCCTCGTGCAGAGGTGTTACCTACTGATCTAGTCTGAAAGGTGACCAACCAATCCTACTCCTTGGAAAGTCACATCTCTAACTGCAGCAACGCTGTGGGATGGATCCTCCCCTGTTCCAGACAAGGACTAAGCTCCAAGCCTTGAGCTTCTTCATCTCTTGCTGGCAGACCAAGACCAGTGGACTACGAGTGGTTCTTAGCAAGGGCCTCAGCTGTGCCTCAGGCCAGGCTCCGGGCTCAGGGCCGGCTGCCCGGAGCAGCTGGGGAGGAAGGAACAATCCTGCCAGCAGGAAACCGGCCGGGGGGCCCGGGGAGCTCGGACAGCGCCAGCACCTCAGTCTGTGTACTCGGCTACGATGGAAAGGAGGACGGTGATGTCGTCTGGTTTCCCCCCTGCAATGGAAGCAAAACCCCTCTTATTTCACCAAACCACAGTGGGGTGTCTTCTGATGATCTGTGATATTACCCATGGAAAGCTCTTTTAAAACTGGTTTAAGCATCCAAAACTTGGTTTGAGTAGACAAAACTCTGCCTCCTCCACCTCCTTTCCAAACTGAGGAGTGCAGTGACATTTAATAAAGCACAAAACCACTCTCCTTTTAAGCCCCAGTGAGATCAAACTATGAAAAGGAGGTCAGAACCTTGAACATTGCTGACAGCTGGCAGAGCTCAAAGCCTGTTTTCAGCAGACTCTTTAATAAATGCACAGAACACCTGACACTGCTTTGTTACATGTAAACTGCCATGAAATCAGATCTCCTCAGGAATTTCCATTGTAAATCAAACACCTCTTTAGCATCTCCAGCACTGTATTACCTCAGGTCTTCCTAAAAGCTACTTAACATTTTTATAATTATTTTTCAATCCTCAACAGCAAGAGAAACACACTCAAATCCTGGAGAAATGGCCCAGAAGAGAGGTTTTGCTATGTGGGAAGTCAAACCAATCCCTTGGAATCTGGAGATCTGCAGCCTCACTACTGAGTGTCAGAGCTTGGAGCAACACAGAGGCCAAGTGTGACAGCTGCTACCTGAGGAAAGGGGCTTAGGGTTCTTGCAGGAAATCCTGCTCTTCTGATACAGAGATGAGAACATCTTTACTGGCAGAATTTTATTTATTTATTTTAAAGTAAAAAATTGTTAGAAGAAAGGTGTTTGCTCAGGCTCTGAGCTGTGCCAGCTGTTTTGCCAGTACCTTTCTAAAACACAGAAGTGGAACCGACAGAGATCAGTACGGAGATGCCAATGATACAAGGGTTCCAAATTTCAACCAAAAAAACAATCCCAAATCTACCAAAGAATGAGCAGAACCTCAGCTGAAACACAGCAGTAAGAAGAGACCTTAAAAAAAAAACCCAAACACAAAACTACCCTCACGCAACCCCACCCACACACCCGAATCCAAGCAACAAGTCTTGTACGGGACTACTGGAGAACTCATCTCAGGCAGGATTCCTGGGGCAGGAATGCACAGATTACATTAAAAATAAAACAATCAGGGCACTGTGTTCTCTGTGCTCCAGCTGCTTCCCCACAGGAGGCTCCTCTTCTGCTGGGCCCAGGACGCCCTGTGCAGGCCCTGGGGGTTTTGGCAAATCCCACACAAGCTCACTGCTCCTCTGCCAACCACATTTCCTACTGTTCTGTTTTCCTACAGGATTTTGGAACAGCAGAATTTCACTTTGCTAAAGATCTCTCCAAGACAGCACCAGTGGGAGGAGGAGAAACTCTTACCTCTGACATTCAATCCATTGTCACAGGCAAACTGTGCAAAGGGTGACATGTACGTGGGGTCATAGGCCAGCTCGTGGG